CGCGCCTAGCGTCGCCGAGATGCCTGCTGGCCCCCCTTCGCCCTCGAGGTCTGGGGCCCAGGCCAGTGGCGCCTTGCAGTAGCGGTGGGCGGCGCCCGCACCGTCCTGCACCGCCTCCTGCGCCCACTGGCGCCACTGATGGCACCGCTTCTTGCCACAGCGGTCCTCCAGCTTCGCCGCCAGATCCCTGGCCTCTTGCTCCAGCTTCTCCAACTCGCGGAAGGTGAGGTGGCTGAGCGTGTGCAGCTGGCGCTTCCACCTACGAACCTCCTCAACCGTGAGCAAGTCGCCGCCGAGGTCATCCGATGCCAGGGCACCCGCCTTGGCCGCGAGCCCCTTCAACTGAGCCAGGGCCGCTGGGATCGCCGTCTCCACGTGCAAGCGCCTGCGAGCTGCCATCATCTCCCACATGACGGCCCCGATGCGGCGCCATTGAGCAGAGACTGGGCAGCCCTTGGGGTACGGTCCCCCACCTGGCACCAGCACGTCCCTCTCCACAAACTTCGGGTTCGCCGCGCGTCCGACGTACAGGTGGGCGTCCGTCGGCGGCACGTGGTATAGGCCGAGCAGGTCGGCCTCCATCAACTTGGCAAACTCGCCGTAGAGCAAGTCCACCATCCCCTGCGGCTCCTGCGCCGCCACGTCCTGCGTCGCAGATGCTGCGCCTCCGCTGGGTGCCTGCTGCGACGACGCTGAGCCAGTGGGTTCACCAGTTGGCTTCTGAGGGCCCCTAGGGTTCCCCACGTACTTAGCGTCATCTATAGGGTTCCGCTCTCCCTGCTGGCATCGCTCCTCTGACAGTGTTGCCGATGACGGATCAGAATCCTCACTGATGCGGGGAAGAGCCTCCTCCTCCGTTGAGTCCACCTTGACTGGGTCCTCCACCGTGTCGCCGCAGAGGCCGAACACTGCGTCCGCCCAGTCTCCGTCGTAGCCAGCCCTGAAGCGCTTGAGCGACTCCGCGTGGGCGCTGACAGGCAGCTGGTAGCCAGGCCCCAGGACACTGTCGAGCCTCCAACCTGGCTCCGATGGCTCGCCCATCTCCTCCGCTCCTGAGACCCTCGTACTCGAAGCACCTGAAGTAGCCCCAGTCGCAGATCCTGTGGTGCCCTCTGCCCTAGCCACCGCGCTGGAGTCGGCGACCCCAGCGGATAAGGCGTAGGGTGAGTTTGGCGGCCGAGAAGGAGTTGCCGAAGTCCCCGTCCGTGCCACCGTAGGCCTCGAGGCGGTCTCCGCCGCCGCAGGCCACTGCACGGCGACCCCCAGCCTGGCCAGCATCGCCCGCGCCAACCCCAGAAAGGGCGCCCAGTCAGGCGGTTCGCGCCGTGGGCCCACGGGCCGCTGCGCTGGCAGCGCGCGCGCCGCTTTGTGCACCAGCCTGCGCTCGGGGAGCCCCCTCACACTCAGCTGCATGCGCACGGGCCAGTGAGGCGCCAAAGCCGTGTCCAGCCTGCTGCAGCCCTTGACCTTGCCGCCCAGGCCACTCGACACCACGAAGTAGTCGATCTCCGAGCCCGAGCCGACGCGGCATGTCGGCACGCCAGGCGCCACCACCATGCCGTTGACCTCCTGGGGCCAGCCCCAAGCCTCCAACTCCTGGGGCTTGCAGTTCCAGTCACCACCGATGACGTAGGGCACCTGCGCGTAGGCCAAGTACTCTCCCAGCTGCCCCAGGATGAGCTTCGACTCAGCGTCGAGGCCCTTGGCTGCCACAAGATACACCGACACCGCAAGGAATCCGCCAGGCACTCCGCAGTTGACCCAGCGCGCGATC